TGCTAGACTAGAGCTTCTCCAGGTGACAAACACAAATTGCTTTCTTTATTTTTGTAATCAGAATGGTCAGCACCTCGTGGGGAACATGGGCTCCAAAACCACATCTAACACTCCTCATGTTGCCTCCCTGCTAAAATAAAGAATGACTTTGCTAAAGAAATAAAAGCAGAGGCGAGAAGAGCATTCCAGTAATTAGGAATATGGGAGTCAGATTCAACATGCTGTATACTATCAAAAACAGAATAAGCTCCATTAACTTTGTATGAATAACTAGATGAAATATACTCTTAGGGCTTAAATCTCAAGCAAAGTGGAAATTGCCTAAAGAAGTAAATAATTTCTTGACAGAGCTTTTCATAAATAATCATGGTCTGTCTCTGCTGGAGTGTTCCTGTCTAAATTGTCATTAATGTATTTTTGATTTCACCAATAAGATATGCAGTTGTGTTTCTGTATGGAAAAAAGCTAAGTACTTAGTAATATTCCCTTAGAATCATTCCTTAAATTCTATTTGCACCCAGAATACACCGAGGCCACCTAGTTTACCAGACAAAACAGAAACAAAATCATCAGTAACTTTGAGAACTTGTACACATCCAAATGAAACCATGCTAATGACCTTTTTGCACTGAAGTTTAGAATTCAATGTGCGGTGAATGCATGGGTGATAAAAATCTCCAAGACAAAAGCTGATCTGATCCTACTGCAGGTGAACATCACTGTGGGAGAAAGTAAATCTATGTTCAGGTTTAAGTAAGCCCTGGAATAAAGGGCCAATTGTTGATTTGCATGTGTGATTATTTTCCTCAAATAGCAGAAAAAATATGCAAACATAAATATTTCAGCTTTCTTCCTGATTCCAATTCATTCTAGATCCATAGGATAGTAGCCTTTTATTTCAAATGCAGGTCTGAAATGCTCCAAAAGCCCAGGGAGTCAAGGTCAAACTCCTGTATGTTCAAGGCCTCCCCACCCCTCACCCTCACTTGGCTCACTGCCTCAGCTCAGTTCCTCACCACACCCTGTCCTTGCCTCCCTGAGCTGCCTCTGTTTTTGCTGCTCCCTCTGTGTGAAATTCTGCTTTCAAAATCCTGCTGTCTTTCTAAGATCCAAGTCTTTCTAGGACCCGTCTTCAGGTGTCGCTTATCCATCTTGAAGATGAATATTATCCTGGGGTCCTTGCTGTGATCTTTCTATATTGAGGCTTATGTTTTAGTTACCTGGTATCCTCCCTTACCAGGTACAGACTCCTTAAGAGACAGGGCTTGCAGTATTTCTCTTTTTAAGCTTTTTAGCACAGGAAGATGAGGTAAAATGCTGGCTGATACACCTTTTCCTTTCTGTTTAGATTTGAGTGCTTTATAGTTTGTTAATTGGAGTGACTCCTTCAGTGTTTAAGCCCCCTGCTACTCTTGAGTTTGGGCTGTGGTATCGTATTGTGTCCTAGTCTTAGATTCTAAAAATCGTTTATCCCTCTGCCCAGCAAGAGTTTGGGCTCTGGAAGATTGTGCCATATTGTGTCTTTCATTTCAAATCCCATCCATCCGCGTGTATTTTCCACATTGGCTTTTCCCTTACAGCGAAAACTAATTGTGTGTTCAGATTTAGTGCTGAGTTTGTGAGAAGGACCCCTTTTGTGCAGTAGGCCCTGGGCTGGCATCAGCCAGGGGATTCCAGATTTGTCACCACTAGGCTTTTGGTTGGTGCCTAGTGAAGGTTTTTTTTTTCTTCTGACAGCCAAGGACCCTGGTAGAGAACTTTACAGGGCAAGTGTTTGCTCTTCTTATGGCTTTTTCAAATTTGTGTGTGTGTGTGTGTGTGTGTGTGTGTGTTGGTTAGTGAAGATTGGTAATTTTCCATAGTCAGAGGACTTCTGCCAGGTGGGCAGTTTCCCTTGGGTTAGTACACTGCCCTCTGATAAGATTCAAGAGCTAGTGAAGCTGACTTGTTATGGATGTTTGGGTACTAGCTATAGAATGAAAGAGAGGCCAAAGGTGCAGGAGATCTTAAGGGAGCTGAAGAACTCGGAAAGATAGATGAAACAGGGTCCCAATGGGTAAGACACCTAAGCAAAACCTGGGGACCTATGGCTGCTACATATACTAATAATCTAATCCATAGTAGGAGTGTGAGTTTGTTGAAAATTCATCTTTTTAACTGCTAAAGTTGGGATGATCTTGCTGGTGAACTTGCTAGTAAATCTTAAAAAAGTAACATATGCATGTACACACATGCGCATAATTATAATTCATTTCTATTGAGTTTGAGATCCTTTGTACTTTAAATATCGTGTTCTATCTTCACAACAATCCTAAGAGATAGATCATATTGTGTCTGCTTTATAAATAACCAAATGAGGTATAAGGATGTTATGTATTTTCTTACTTCTACAGTAATATTTTTTTTCTTTTGTTTTTCCAAAGACTGAGAGAAATGAAACTTTTTAACAATTTCGGTTTCCACTTTTGACCAAGGAAAAGGGTGTGTAAGAAGTCTGCTGGAGATAAAAACATCAGTTGGGAGGGAGGACTGAGACCCTATTGCAGAGTTGTGGGAGGATGGGCAACAAATTTTCTTTAAGAAAAAGTGATATTTTGAGATGTGACAAATACAAATTAGGATGGTTCCATCATTGACAGTGATTTACTCATTGTCTATGTCTGTATTAACCTCTCATTCCTGACTGTTACGGCTTGAGTCTAGATGTCCCCCCAAAGCCTCATGCAGTCATAGGTGGGGCTTTTTCATAGCTGGCTGGATCTAGAGTGTGTGATACTAGGATTGATTCAGGTGCAGTGCTAAGATCAAGGCACTAGGTTTAAGGATGTGAATGCTACCTATCCTAAGTAGCCTAGATAAGGTATAAGGGATAGAAAGCTGTGGTTGTCCTTGTTGCTTTGCTACCTTCTGCCTACCATGAACTGGTTCTCCTCTGCTATGTCACTCTGCCTTGGAACCAGCCAGTTATGGACTGAAACCTCCACCTACTGTGAGTTAAGTAAACCTTTCCTCCCTTAACTTGAGGTGCTGGGTATATTGTCTAAACAGTAAGAAAAGTAACTAAAACACTGACTATATCTGACTGGTCTGGAAATACTTGACTCAAGCCTGGTAAATAAGCTTCTCTCTCCTGTCAGTGTGGCACTGAGAGATATGAGGCTGAAAGTCTGCAGTGCCCAGTAAACTCATATCACAGAAGAAGGGTAGCCCTGGATTGCCTGATTCCAAAACTTCTGAGAGGTGTTAGTCTGTGTCCTCTGGTAGTTCAAAAACCCTGAGCTGGGTTGGGACTTCATTAACAAGTACTGCTGTATCATCTGAACAAGGAATGGTTTGCTCTGCTGTTTTATCCACTTTTCTTGTCGTTGAACTTCTGTGTTTACTGAAAGAGACAGAAATCCCTTCCATCTCTGCACGGTAGGGTAGGCCAGAGACCCTGGACCCTGCTCCTAAACCTGTTCATGCTGTCATGATTCTTGCCTGGCTCTTGCTGCCTCCTTTTACCTATCTGCTATTGTTGTGAGGCTTGATGCCGAAAGGGTTATCTGAAGCAAAGCTGAAAGCAATAGAGGGCAGTGATCAAAGGTTGCTGATGAGGCCATTCTTGTCCTGGCTCCCTGTTGGCTATGGAAGGAGGAAGAGGAAGGATAGTGCAGTGCAGAGGCAGAGAATATGTACATAAGGAATGTGTTGAGGTGGTGCCAGGGAGCATGCTTCAAAGGCTGAAAAGCTCATCTCAGCCTTGGCAAAACTGCACAAGCACCTGAGAATAAAGAATACATGATTAGCAGAAACACCTTGTAAAAATATCTGCTCCTAAAGAAAGTAGGTCTCTGAAATGTAAATGCCCTGAAAAGTCTGCAAGTCTGAAAGATAAACTTCCTGAATTTATCATCCTTAAAAATGCAACCTAGAGCAAGAGAGAGACTCAGAAATAAGATTGCAAAAGCTAGGAAAAAAAGTGAGTAGAACTGACCTCTGGTAGATTAGATATGACAATTTCACAAAAGACTGCAAGAGAAATTGAGGAAAGCATCAGTAGCACAAACACCTGCAATAATGTAATCAAGGGCAATAAATAATAAAGATTTTGAAGTGATAAATTATGACAAGCCAAACTGGTGGATTTAAGTAGACTTACAAAACTAGGACTTCAGTCCAGCCAAGCAGATGTTAAGTGCTTAGAATTTGGGAAAGCACTTAGGGTGAGCTCTCAAAACATTTCACTTGCAAAATTAGTTCAGATTGATTTGGATATGAACATACTGGAAATCAGACAACAAACATGGATTCTGGTGAAAAACAAGGTGCCCAGTGGAAAGGGAGGCAAGAAGAAAAGAGCAAAGCTCTCTTCAAGAAACACCTTTCTGTGTATCTTTCTTTAGTAGCTACAAGGAGCTGATTTATTTTGCTAAGTTGGGAAGGTATAAAATAAAACAAAAAAACATGCCAAGAAAACCCATAAACATATTAGGTTCAGTTGGAGAAAAGAACAATCTATAAATGTGGGTGTTTGGCCTGCTAGATGGAATTGCAGAATGAAGCGATACAATCCTCATCATCCACTTGTCCCATGAGTCTGTGTCCCTTCCTGCTTCCCTTCCTTCAGCTTCCTGCTGACCAGACACTGTTCTAGGGCTGAGTCCTGGTAAAATTAACACAGCCTCTGCTCTGGGTGCCATTCGGTGCTGACGCACCTCAGGAGAGTAGCTGCAGGGGACAAGAGGGGCCTTGCAAGTAGGTGAGACCTGGATTGAGTCTCAAGTTACAAAATTGCTAACTGCACTTCCACGTTTTCCCCTAGCCTGTGAGACTTTGGGCTACTTGTTCTTACTACTGTGGTCTGAATGCATGTGTTCCCTCAAAAATCCTTATGTTGAAACCCGTATCTCGAAGGTCACGGTATTAAGAGGTAGAGCCTTTGGAGCTGATTAGGTCTCAGGGCTGGAGCCTTCATGAATGGGATCGGTGTCCTTCACTAGTGGTCTCACTTTCCCTAGGAGACCCCCCCGCCTCTTCTGCCATGTGAGATTGGAGTGAGAAGACAGCTAGCTCTGAAGAAGTGGGCCTTCACCACCAGCCACCGAACCAGGCTTGATCTTGGACTTCCCAGCCTCCAGAAATGTGAGAAATGAGGTTCTCTTCATAAGCTACATATTTTATGATATTTTGCTGTGGCAGCCTGAATAGATTATGACAGTTAGCCTCTTCCTGCATGGTCCTCCGAATCTATAGCTAAGCTTTTCTTTTCCCTCATCTCTTTATCCCAGTGTCCTCTAAGGGGACACGTCTTTGTTCTCCTCTCCTTCATTTCCTCAATGGTGCTAATGATTTACCCTACTGATGGCTGACAGGTTCAAGAATTGGAGTGGTCTGCACTTAGGGTGGGGATGGAACAAACTGGGACATTTCAAAGGGGTGACATGTATAGTTGGAAGAGAAGCTCCACAAGTAGTTCTGATGACCACTACCTATAGTGTTCTACAGGGTCTTTTGGGCTGACTGTTTTATGTCACAAACAAAACTCAGTAGTTCCTGCTCTCCCTACCCCACCCAGCATCATGGCTATATTCTTTACTCTTCTCTTTCCCCTCATGCCCCTCATTAATCACTGGCTGACACACAATCTCCCAGCCCTTTCAGTTATACTTTTTTACAGTCTTTAGAATATGTCCATTTCTCTCCAGTCCTATTACTATTGTAATTTGTCCTCATGTTTCCAGAACTAAGCTCTCCATACACATTCTGCATACTGTCATTAGAATAATTATCCTAAAATAAAAATATGTTCACATTACTCATTGCTCGCAGGTAGACAGAATGGTACATGACATTCTTTGTCACTAGGCCCATTTCTTTTAATTTCACTCTATGTTCCCCTTGACTTCAGCCATGCAGCGTTTCTTTCCAGATGTCCAGTACTTTCCCTTGCCTGTCTGCCCAGTCCCAATTCCTGCTTGGCTAACTCTTCCTGTACCTGTGCCTTTGTGTTTCTCATGTCCATGTACAAGCTTTGCTTGACCTCTTTCTGTCTAAACCAGGTAAGGTGCCTCCATAATCCTTTGCATGTAGTAAGTATCTTACATCTCTTGCTAGACTACAAAAGCTCTTTGAGGGATGGGTCAATCAGAATACATCATTTTGCACCCAGAACCTGAAACACAGGAGATGTCTGGTTAATGTTTGCTAGATAAATGATGAGTGTATAATGAATCTACTTCTCAGGTGAAGAAATGGAGTTTAACTCACATATAAAAGAGTGACACAGTGAATCTTCTAATCTAGGATTATTTCAAATAAATCATATAGCTGTAGTTAAAGAAACCCTTTAGATATACACACATTGCAAATGAATCTTTATAGCATGAGATATCATTTTATAGGCTTTTCTATTTTTATGTTTCTACAAAATGATAGCACTCAACGACAGCAAAAGAATAAAGGAGAAAAGGTGGGTGATAAAGAAAGAAGTGGAATAAAAATTGGGGGGTCCACTGCCAGCTCTTTATATGCTTTTCTTTCTAGCTCATAGCTCCTCTCAGGCTCTGTCTCTTCCTCCATAATATATAGGTAGTTTACATGTTGATTAAACTTTTGTTTAACTCTGTAATTGTATTATACTGTATGTTTCATATTGCTCTTTAAGATGCTTCCTCCTTGGGGCTGGGGATTTAGCTCAGTGGTTCTGCTGCCTGCTTCACAAGCTCAAGGTCCTGAGTTCAATCTCCTGTACAAAAAAAAAAAAAACAAAAAAAAAACTTCCTCCTTAAAAGGCTTGGTGAGCAACCAGTGAAATGTACCAGGAAATGTGGCATATTCTAAAACCTGACACAAAAATCCATTGGCACAGTTACTCTGGATGGCATGCAACTGATGGACACACCCGGCTGGTCTCAGATCAAAAAAAAAAAAAAAACAAAAAAAAAACTTCCTCCTTAAAAGGCTTGGTGAGCAACCAGTGAAATGTACCAGGAAATGTGGCATATTCTAAAACCTGACACAAAAATCCATTGGCACAGTTACTCTGGATGGCATGCAACTGATGGACACACCCGGCTGGTCTCAGATCCAGATATTTCCCGCACTTCTTGGCCTTTCAAGCAGTGAAGATTCCTGCTGCCATTTAATCCCTTAGCAAACATCCAGCTAATGGTGGAGAGGAACTGATACTAGATGGAACAGTTTTGAATGTGGAAGGCAGCATGTGTTTCTCCCTCGGTCAGCCTGTGCTGAGGGTCTGTACTACTTATTTTATCACTGTACCTGTCTACAGGAAATTCCATGACCCATAGTCATAGTACTCCAGTCAGGTCTAGCACAAATGCATGTTCAGTTCCACAGAAGAATCTTCTCTTTCTGCCATGCATTTGTATTACGGGTGGCATCTGTCATAAGTGCACCCAAACTACAGGCTGAAAAACCGGTGGACTGACCTTATGCAGAAAACGTAAGCTGTAATCAGGCTCTTGAATTGGAAAATACTGATAAAATGAGGAGATTAACTTCACTAGGTCCAGTGGTGGAAAAAGTAGCTGAATGGACCAGAGAGAAGCTCTGAGGTAATGTTAAAACTATGAGATGTCATGGTAACCTGAGGTTCTGAAGAAGTACAAACTGAGTTTGTAAAAATTCAGAGCTATACAAAGGAATCCCTGAGGTATGAAATAGCCAATCTGGAATAAAGAATATGTAGGTCAAAACGAAGAGAACAAAGCAGAGTGAAATCACTGGGGTCATACATGGTCCTGCCACCTACTGCATTTTCAGAGCTGTCTCTGGACCCGCATAATCTTTTGGTTCAATTTCATAAAGTTCTGGAACCACCACAGGGCTGGTTCTTCTTTCTCTAAGGTTCTTTCTCCAGGGTCTATTCTTCCAACAACCATTCATTTTTCATTTTTTGTGGTAACTAGGTGATCCTAGCAAGATTGTAGGGCTGGGCTTCTTATTTTCTGACTCATTGGCTCTGGCTACTGGTAGGGCAGGTATCTCAGTATCTGGGTCACTGTTTCTCCACACTCACATAGCATTTCCATTTGAACAGCACAACTACCTAGAGAGTCAACAATCATATCCTTATACTTTGATACTGAAGGAAATATTTAAATTGGAGATCCATAATTTAGGGTTTTGAACCCTAGGAAGACCCTGATTAGTCTTTGAGGAAGTCTACAAACCCTGCAAAACTACATGGGGTGAAAGTGTGTGTGCGTGTGTGTGTGTGCACGTGTGCATGTGTGTACTTGCCAGTTGGAGGTGGCGGGTACATTCTCCTGAGGAGAAGGTCCATGATTGTAACCACTTTCTCAGAGTAATCTGTGACTATGTCCTTGTCTGGTTAAATATTACTAGTTTGTGAGGCAGGAGCTCAGACTGTGACTGAAATCCAGCTCTTCCAGTCACTGGATGGCTAGCCTTGCATATTTACTTGACCTTTCTACACCTTATATTATTATGTATGAATGTGTCTAATACTAACCACACTTATACCTAGGAGTGCTATGAGGATTTAAAGAGATGCCTCACTTAATGTTCTTAAGCATATCACATGGCATTATACCAAGCTGTTGGTGGTGGATTTACATTTATTGTAGTTAATAGATATAAATATCATTTTTGATACATATTTTCTATTTCTGGATATTTATGTTTTACTATTGAAGGTGATTTTTAAAAAATGAGTTATGAGGGCAGGGAATTTAGCTCGATGGTATTTCTGCCTGCCTCATAAGTACAAGGTCCTGAGTTCCATCCTAGGTACCAAAACAAAACAAAACAAAAAAATGAGTTATAAGGTTAGAGGAAAGGACCAATAACCAAATATAAATTTTTTAAAAATGGAATTTTTATTTTCTAGTAAGGCAAGCAGAAATACTATAAAATGTACTAATATTTTATAAAGTTTATAAATATATAAAAATTAGGTAAAAGTTTAGGTCAGATAATTTTAGGCAAAATATTAAATAAAAATTACTTTGTACTGATGAGTATAATTTATATACTATCATAATCATTAATAAAAATTAGATTAATTTAAAAGGCAACTGCTTTTTCATATTTTCAATATGTTGGTAACATATTGAAATGATTGAAGTTTTTTCATTTAACTTGAAGAATTGCTACTACTCATTCTATGTACACATTCCATGCCTATTGGTTAACCATGGAGAAATAGCTGAGAAACCAGATATATTAACAAGACTTTATATGACTGTTTCAGTAGAGTTTCTCTTATTTTATTATGTTTCTTTAATTCTAGTAAAAATTCATTCTAGGGTACATTTTAGGCATTTCCAGTGAACTTGCACAGGAAACTGATTCACTGTAGGGCGAACCTCTGGCTAGTTAATTTAGGTTAAGAACAGATACATTTCAATACACCTCACTGGAACAAGTAGGGTAGAATTTATGATGATATTCTGCATCCAAATAGGAGACAGGTGGACACCCTCTTTTCAGCTTAATTCAAGTAAATATCTTCCAAGTAATCAGATTTCCCTGGCACTTGCCTGAACCCTTACAAATAGTAAACTGTGAGGGATGCAATCAGCTGTGGTCACCTAGCTAGATCTAACAGGTCACTTTTGATAAGGCTGACATGGTGGAGAAAATCTTCAAAATTTCTGATGAGAGGCCTTTGACTTTAAATTTGACAGGTGGCTAGTCAGGTGAATGTGAATAATCATTACACAGGGAACAACACCAACAAAACAAAACCCAACCCTGCTCATGAATGCAAAAAATGTCCTGTTTCCAAAATAATGATGTTCAGCCTGACTTTTGGAAAAGGAAGAAACACAGTGCTGAACATGTTATTTACCAATGCAACACAGTGTTCTTATTCCACTGAGTGGGAAAAATAAAAGCAGAATGTTTTCTGGCCTGCTTCCAATCATTCAACCTGTGTTGACTGGATTCAGGACTTGTAGTTGCTACAAGCCACAGAGGCTTTTGGCCAGACTCCATGTCTGTGTAAAATGGCAGGGCAAAAGTCCTGCCATTTGCATATTGTGTAGGTAGCTGGAGTCATGACAGTGCTGACAGTGATGATGATGATGGTTTTAGCTGGGAGTTCTCTGACTTTTTGATGGATGTTTGTACATATTATTTAGTCCAAAGATCTCAAATATGCTCTAGCAGTGGGGCTTTTGAGGGCTGTCATTTCTAGAGAATGTTCTTTGTGTTATTTGCCTCCTGTCCTTTGTCCTGGCCAGACTTAGGTCCAGTGGCTGTCATTTTGCTTAGGTGCAAGGGTGTCTTGTAGCAACTCTCTGTTCAAACAGTTGGGAACTGATTCTGACCCTTATCCTGATGCTCTTAGGACAACCACCACATAGGATACTGCATTAGAGAAGTGCCTGGGCCACAAGAGGAGCGAGTTAGATACTCAGTGAATGTTTAGCCTCTTCTTATTAGTAATACATGAGTGGCATCATGCACAGGCCATCTTACTTGTTGTCCCCTACTTCTGTGCTTGTCTCCTTTGAAGGATAGATGGGAACAGAGAGGATTAAGGAATTTGGAAAATTCCTCTGTACATTTCTGGTTGTTGCCTTTTATTCAATAGAAGATATGGTCACCAGCATAATTTCAGATAGGCTATCAGTTTCACCCTTAAGCAAGTCAAATGGAAATTCCAGGACCTTTAAGTTGGGATCCAAGTAGGATTATATTGAATTTAGAATGATTATAGCAATTGCATCTACAAATTCACTCCAGGGAGAGAAGTGGAGAGGTCCTTGTGTAGCTTTGGATTGTCTATTTAACTAAATCACAACTTCATTTCTCATAATCTCTTTTGTTGTATGGTTGCAGGGTATGTTTGGGCACAAGAGAGATTTGAACAAGATCTGGAAGGTGAAAGTGAAGCAGCAGCCATATTTTACCCTCTGAGGGTGGGCACCGAGCTCCAGCAATAGTGATGGATCACACATATTAATGCCCATTTGTTGGCTGACCTCATGGATCTTAGGTCCCTCAGCAACCAATAAGTCCCTCTTTGAGTTCTCTGAGTCTTGAGCCACATAGAGTTAGAACCCTGAGAAAGTGTGTTGGCTTTATCATGCAGATCACTTGATTGTTGAAGTTGAAGGTGATGGATGATATCATCAACTGGCTTCATGGTTTCCAGTTCACTCTCAGATTCTGTCTTGTTCCTATTCTCTTCTATTTGACTTCTTGACTGTGCTCAGGCCCAGAGTAACTTGTGTCCAATACCAGTCAAAGAAGCCACAGTCTTACAAAAACTTTCTGGCTTCCATATTGGTATAAGGTCTACAACCATAATACATCCCTATTTTCCATTATTCATGAAGGTTCTGCTTCTCTAATTGAGCCTTACTTGATATAAATATTCTTATTCTAAATGAATACCAGCACCCTTTTCAAAACAGTGACTCTGGAGTTTAGATATACTGTTTGAGGACCACCAACCCTAGAGGACTAAGGTATGAAGGTTCTTTTCTATAATTTATCTGTTTTTTTTTAGGTGACCATGTAAACTTGAACGTGTTTCATGTAATTCAAGAATACTATCTACAGGAGGGGAGTAGCTAAGGTTTACAGGAAAAAAATAGACAATCCTTTACCATCAATGAACTTGATTGGAGGAGGCAAGCATGTACACACAGGAGCAGATATTAAAGGACTGATTGAACTCTTAAGAGCTTAATAAAGGTGAAGAAGAGATAGGGCAGAGTAAATAAAGATAAATACAGTTATGTGTATAATAAATGTTTGCTGAATGAAAGCAGGAGGGGTATTTTGACATTTTTAATAAAAAGCAAATATAACAATGGCAAAGAGAATATAAAATTATTTTTTAATCTCCCACTTTCATAATGTCCCAGTGTAACTATTTTAATTTTCAGATATCACTGTTCCTACCCATATTTGTTTGTTATATAGTTGGAATTACAATGCAGCAGTTTTTTGTATTTTCTTTGCTTTCCTCACTTATTTTTTTGCTTTGTTTTAAAAGGACCTAAAGGGAGTCTTATGACTATTTTTAAGGAGATTGTAAACCTTGGTTAAAAAATGTAATGTGTTTTTCTACTTCAACCTCTGCTTCAAATGCTGGGTTCTGAGCCATTTTGGAAATGGGTCTGACAAACGATGGCTGTGGCTGTGCAGAGCCAAGGTGAGCGTAAGAAGCAAGTGCTGTTGCTAAGGGAACCACTGGAGAAATGTTTATGATATAAACTTTGCGATCACATTTAAATTTCTTGACACAGTTCTTGCTTACTGGCCTTGAAAATTTGAACAGCTTCAGTCAAAACAAAAATGTCCCAGGGGTGATGGACGTAGTCTGTCAGAGAGCATTGATAGGAAGCACAGCACACACTTTTGGAGCAAAGGAAGGAAACCATTTATTCCCACTAACCAAAAAGAGTGCTGAATACTGGGGTCTGTGAATTTGGGCAAGAATGAATTTACTTTTGGTAGAGATCATCCCTGTGTAGCTGTTTAGGTCTCTGTCTACCTGATGGAAGTATTTTATAAGGGCTGGCTGGGTACAACTATAATATGTATTTTAGACGCAAGAACACAACTAAAATGAAACCTTACATTGACCTCCAGCACATTTAATTGCTACAAATAGAGCTGCGTTGGTTGAGTTCTGGATGAGGTGACAGAATTTTACATGCTTGGTCTTCACCTCACCCACACCCTCATCTCTATTTCATTAGCACCGCTGTCCCTGGAGCCCATGAGGTTATCAGAAAACTAGCTTGAAAGATGTTGGTTTGGACCCACTTGAGTTCACACATAAGTCTTATGAGGAAATTTGAGGCTTTAATTTGTGATTCAGATAGCTTGCATTTCTCTAGTATTCATTAATCTCTTGGTAATAATAATGACTCTATAATAGCAAAATCTTCCATGGCTCCTACAGTGTGCTCTAATCTAAGCACTTTATGTATAGCAAGTCATTTGATCTTTCCAACAACCCTGTGTAGAATGTGCTATAATAATTTGTTGATTCCAAAACAAGTTGTTTTTTTTCCCCTCTCTCACATTCTAGCTTTTGTGAAAATGGAATGTGTCTTACTTTTGATAACTTTTGATAGAGTGTCATAGTTTAATTGGTGGAATTCTACAACTTTTTCATGGAGTATAAAATAATGGTATGTTTTACAATGAAAAGCACTTCTATGAAATGCAGTATCGATATCCCCACTTTACAAATGAAGAATTAAGGCACAGAAAAGTGAAGTAGCCTGCCCAGTATCACAAGCCTCAGTGCCCTGACTCAGGGTTCCATGTTCTTAGCAACCTTGTGCCCTGCTGGACTTCCACATCCCTCTCTGAGGGTCTCCCCAAGGCCACTATTGAGTAGAAGGCTTCCTTCTGGCAGGCACTCCTGGAAGGAGTAACACATTGAACATTTCTCATTCAGTCATGAACATTGCTGGAATTTTCTTGTTATATGGTTTTCTACCTGAAAGCCATTTCCAAAACAGTCCTTGGGAGATGAGGCCCTGAGCAAGGGTTGGTAAAAGAAAACCCTGAAAGAAGAGGTGTGCAAGAACTGATTCTGATGGGCTTACAAGAGCTCTTGCCAGGCAGCTGTTAATCATTCTACCAAGCAGTCCTCTGTGGTGGAACCATTTACATCATAGAAATGGGCAAACACTATGAATCAGGGCTTTTCTATTTGTTTGTTTGTTTGTTTTTCCTTTCAGAGAGCTAGGTTAGGAATACATCACTAAACAGATGCTAAATTAATCAGATTTCCCCAGATAGGCATCATTGGTCAAAATATAGTAGTAGGAAGGAAACAGGAAGACTGAGCATGAGAAATGGAGCTGAAGCTGAAGTTTCTAGGTAGTCTCAAGGTCAAATAACTCTATTAGAGTTAAACTGTGTGCATGCTTTAATTCAATTTATGTTATCATGTTAAATGTCTATGTAGATAAGGGACCACTGATGCACATGCTACCTATGTGTGTGGAGCAGTAGAGAGACACAAATTACCTGAGGAAAGAAGAGTACTGCCTGCTTTGTGTGTTTGTTGCCTTCATTCCTGAGAGGATAAGATAATGAGCTATTTGCCAAGAGCAGTGAGGGGCCAAAGGGGCTTCTGAGATCATCCAAGAAGTATAGACCAGGAACAATAGCTATAAGACCTCAGAGGGCAATGGTGGAAATGTAGGAAGTGATCAATAAATGCTCATTGTTGAACTGAGCAACTGCATGTCACAGTCACATTTCTCGTGTGTGAATTACTTAGTTACATTTCTCTTTTTCTCCTTGGTGATTCTCAGTGAACTCACCAAACACAAAAAGCATGTGGGCTTATCATACAGAGGAGGAAGGAAATGAGCTGCTTTATAGGCCTTGTCTCATTGTATTCAGTCTGGAGGGAAAACTCCAAGGAATGAGGTACATTATACCGAGGTTAAAAAGGAACCCAAGCTGGCTGAGAGAGGTGTATTCAGCAAAGAGGAAGACCACACAAGCAGTTGGAGTTTGAGGGGAAGCTCTTGAGGCCAATAGAAGGAAGGGAGTGTGGGTTCCCAAAGAACTCTCTCTTTGGTCCATTTGGGAGCCACAGGAGGACATTGGAGAGGAATGGAGGAGGTAAAGGAACAAGGAAAGGGAAAAAGACCCCAAAGGGTGGCCAGGTATGGGGAAAAGGATTATGGCTGCTTTGCAAATGCAAAGGACCTGTACATTTCTCATTTCCAAATTGGGCTATTTTAGGAACACATTCTTTTTCAGTTATCTTCTATTAAGAGCTACCAACAAATCAGCTAAAGAAAGGTATCTTCATGGATTTTAGGATGGAAATTTTAGCAATCAGGCTCTTGGCTCAGCATATGAACATATGAGCTTTGTTAGGGCCATATGTGAAGGTTAGACAGTGACTTCAGGAGTAGCTTTCCCTGATATCTGTTCTCACCCATAGAAAAGGGCTGCTCACAGTTTATTAACAGATTTGGCACTCATTAATAATTTGTGGAACTAGCAGATCAATCCCAGCTGATTGAAAATAATTATCAACCTCTCCAAATGATTAAACGGCATGTTTGGATTTTCATTTATGTCATCATTTTGATTGAATGATGTGTATGTGTGCCGAGATTGTGTATTAACAAGATATCTCTTAGAAGTAATAATAAATACTGATGAAAAAGAGTTACATATCACTCTACATCATAGGAAAAACAAGAAATCAAAGTTAGATGAGCAAGAGAATAAAATTGGGACCCAACATAAATTATGAAAGACAGACTGTGACATAGATAAAGTTGTATGGGATGTAAATGATAAACAGAAAAATACTTATGATGTTCCAAGCAGAGCGTCAGAGGATTGAAAATTCTGGTCAGCATTGACAAACAAGCAGTGTAATTAATCCGGAACGGAAAGAATACCACAGATGTTTAAAATTATTTTTTTCTACTGACTCAGTCTCCTGCATATTTACAAATTGAAGGTTGTAGATTAATAGCTCCTGAGATTCCAGCCCAATAGGCCCAACTCCAGGATTGTGTTTGCACTCAGTGACATCCTTTTGGATTCAAACTGTTTCCCCTAGTCAGAATATAAGAAAAACGAACGCCTAAACCTGCTTTGTCTCACATTAGTTTTCCCAAGTGTATTCTGTTAAGGATTCACTCAACAAGAATAACAAATAAAAATTCCCACCAGAAACTGCAGCATCTCAGAGAAGTGGTGCAGGCTGCTGTTCTTTGTTAATATCAGTTTGGTGCAGCCTCATTCATAACCCAATAATGGTAACTTGCTTCCACCTGGTTCATTTGAATTCTGATTTTGCCTCATGCGCCATCTGGATTTAGCTCAACAAACTTTAAATGCTAGAGAAAACATGATGCAAATGTGCAAGTCTGTAACACCCTGTGGACTTTTTACTTCATAACCTCCAGGAGTAGGCAAATGATTTCATGGAGAGGTAAACTAAGTCACTGAGCTGTTCCTCTAGGTGCTTGAAGTCTGCTAGCAGTTCAGATGAAAAATAAACACTAGGCTCTTGGCCAGAATTCAGCCTTCTACAGGTTTGTTAGACCCTCTTTCAGGTTTTCTTTATCTCTGTCTCTGTCTGTCTTTAAACCTGAAGTGCTTGTTAAATCTGAAATTTCCCTGGACGGTCAGTGAAAGGCAGAGTGGCCCATGTGGCTCTGCAGGAGGGTCCCATCTCAGCCCGGGCAGCCTTTCCTAACAAGGGGTGGAAGGAACTCCAGGTGAGCTTGGACCACGGATAGTGCCAATACTTGTGTGTGGCAGGTGTTTAAAGAGCAGCAGAAACCTGGCAGCCTCTGCTGGGCCTTTTTTAAACTAGAAAATTCATCCTTTCCACCAGTTTGAACTTCCAAATCTCACGAGGGTCTACACATGCATTTGCCATTCCACAAACACCACCAAAATCAGATATAACTTGGCAAATTGTGAGTTACTAGATAAGGCCTTGTATTCCTTTGCTATCAGTTTGATCCAGAACAAGATCGTCCATGGAGTGGGCTAGCGACATTGAATATGGTGTGAATAGATAGAAAGTGCGCTGCAGAGAAAATGCCCTCACCTCTGAAAATTGTTTATATGTAATTTAAATGTGATTATAATTCAAGAATGCATTTTTGCCCACATTTACTTTTAAGATACAAAAGGTATTCTGACACATACTCATCCACGTACACACACGTACATGCATACACGCATGCACAGTAT